CCTCGGATCCTTAGCTGCATAGAGAGGATTCGTGTTCAAGTTTTATCAAGGGTTGACGGATACAAGGAACCGCAGAGGGTCCGTGGTTGACGATACGTCCTGGTCAGTTTGAACAATCAGGCCACCTGTGTTTGTGGTTTTGTTTAATTAGGGCAACCCACAGAGTCATTTGTTACGTCATATATCACACCATTACGTGCGGAAGGGCACCGTATTCATCTGTCTTATATCTAGATGGTTAATCTGATTTATATAAGAACTGTTTTGGATGTGTTTATGTAGGAGCTAGCTAAACGTTGCTCTTTGCACAAATTCTGTGATGTATTTATAAAACATAATTTGTTTTACTATGTAATTACTCAGATGGATATTTTGTTGAAGATGTCATAAAATGACCTGTACTGTATCTGCTGCATCTTCTGAAGTTCTCAAGTTCTCAATAAATGTATGATGTCTCTCCCTGTCCTTCAGTGTCATTCTTTGCACACAAAAATTAAAATTGTAATTTAGAATCCTTTTTTTTTTTTTACTATTGATGACACAGCAGTAAAACTTACATGTGACAGCAGCAAAAATACTGAGCAGATGTGAGGTCTGGCTCTAAATAATACAACCACAAAGTTGAACTGTTAAGTTGAATATAGTTTAAATGGAAGAAGGGATACTATAAAAGAGCAGCATTACTAAAGATGTAAAAATGTCCAATTTTCATTAAAAAAGATATAAAAAAAATTATCTCATGGTACGCCAGCGTTTTCTAAATTGACTGCAGGTGTGAATCTACAGTAAGTGTTTGTCTACATGTAGCCATGTAATGAAATGGTGGCCTTTCCACAGTGATTGGACTGCCTGCGATGAAGAAATAATGCAAAAAAATGCGCTTTGTTTCATCAACACTGCTATTCTGCTTGAGAGACAATGAAAGACACTGGACAAGGTCACCTATTATTGACATTTTGGGCCATATATTTTACCTCAATTTATGAACAACAAAACCAATAGTTTTAATGTGAGTAATAATAACAGTTTATTAAAGTGTTTTGATAATCAACCTTCGTCAAAATAAAAAAAATTCCTGTAGAATTGTTTTAAGGTTTGGCATCTAGTTATAAACCGCTGTAAAGGTAAAGTCTCGGGGTGATCCACTGCTGCAGAATCTACTGCTGCATTGGTCGCTGAGTGCAGACTTCCTGGCAGAGAGCTGGAAGCTGACGGCTTGGTGCATTAACTGATGCTCCATTGACTGAACTCAACCTCGACTCATCTGTTCCATACATCATATAACCAGGCAAAAAATAAAATATCACCTAGTAAGAGAGTTGATGACTGTTCAGTGTTCAAGTTCTATCTTCCTCATGAACAAAATAGGATGCTCCCCCCCCCCCCCCCACCCCCCACCCCCAGGCATCACCAACCACCAGCCAACGCACCCCCTTCATGGGAGATGAGTAATTAAGTCCAAGTGCACAAGTGAAAGTGAGACAACAGACAAACAAGCTTTGAATTTTCAGTTTTATTTAAGGTTCATTTTTCCAGACCTGCAGAGGACAGTTCACTTCCTTTTAAGCGCCATGATGTTTTGTTTTTGTTTTTTAAACCTCGCAATAATTATGTTAAAACCCATTTTATGACTCAGTGTTGGTTTCTCCTTGATCAGTTTGTTCATCTTGTGAATACTGTTAAATACAGAACAGCAGGAGAGGGTGGGGTTGTAAGAGAGAGGGAGAGAGGGAGGGAGGGAGAGAGAGAGAGAGAGAAAGAGAGAAAAAACAGCAGTAATGTGAACACAGATGAGAATTAAGACTTCAAAAAGAAAAAAAAAAAACAGCAGTGGTCTGAGATGTCCATCGTAGAAATCCTCACCGTCGAGAGCTGCGCAAATCACAACTACAGTACTTGGTATTGTCTTGCAACATCTCTGTGACACCAAACAGTTCCTGAAGTCAAACCCAATATTGCATAATATGTCAGCAATCTTTTGAGACTACACTCTCCTTTCCAAACCCCACCGGAAGCTCCTTACCTCTCACCCGTCCATTTTAAGGCCTCATTTAGCCCTCAAGGGTCGAACGCACCGTCGCCGTTCACTGCGACTTTCTTTTTGAGGTTTTCTCTCATCCATCTAATCATTGTCCTGTCATCTTGGTGGCTGTTCTGTGCTAGAGTTATCTACTTTAGGCACCACACAGTGGCACTGGAAGTGAGAGTATAACCCTAGTGCTCAGGATGTGCCACGATCTCCCAAAGCCCTGGCTCCCCGTGATTAGGCAGTGCTCTATCCTCTGATACAGAGGTTCGGCAAAATTTTCCTTCCAGCCGGGAATGGGGCTGTGAGCGCCCTCTGCTGAAGGAAATGTGGGCCAAGTGGCCTCTCAGGCAGACCATTTGTGTCCCTACCTAACAGGGAGCCCATGCATAGCCTGTGTGCCCTCAACTCCCCCTCGCGTCATCTGTTTTCACTCTCGACTCGCCAAATCTCTGCTTTTCTTTTCTCTTTTCTTTTTTTTAAACGTTTCACTAAAAACAGCCTCCAAAAGCTGAGAGTGCCGTTCCATTCTCTCTCTCTCTCTCTCTCTTGCCGTGCCGTTCTCTCTCTCGCTCGGCTCTTGTCGTTCCGTTAATCAGCCGTTTTACAGAATAACCGTAACAATCGCAGTCTCCTGTCAAAGTGGGGAGGATGAGGGTCTTTGGGGGCAAAGCTTCGAAAGAGCAGATTCACAGCTTGCTTCATTCCTTCGAAAAACTAACCGCGACTTCAACTTTCAAGAACAAAAAAAAAAAAAAAAAAACCCACAATTGTTGTTCATGCTTACTCATTAGTTACTTATTTAAAAGGCTCCACTTCAGCTAACTTTGTTTCTCTGCCCAGTTTGTGACCCAGTGTCACCACCGGGCGCTCGACGCAGTACTGTTTCTTGTGCCCTTTGTAAACAGCAAGCTACACAACGAATGACCCACGTTATGCCCACTACTAGATCTAGAGGAGTGGTGATGGTAGCAGACAAGGGGTACTCATGATGTACGTACGTGTGTGTGTGTGCAAACAAATAAAAAAAACCAAATAGGCCTTTAGAGTAGACATAAAGAAAGGAGAAGAAAAAAGAAGAAAGCATGTTTGTTATTCTGTTAATTTTTTTTTTTTGTACTCTGCAGATTGGTGTGTATTGCATTTGGGGAAGGGGGTGGTGGTGGGGGGTAGTACAGAATGATTGGGTCTAAA